TCCCAAGTAGCTGGGACTACAGGCGCCTGCCACAATGCCTGGCTATTCTTACAGACGCGGTCTTGCTCTGGCTCAGGCTGGTCTCTAATCTGTGAGCTCAAGCAGTCCACCTGCCTCAGCTTCCCAGAGTGCAAGGATTACAGGAGTGAGCGGATGAGCCACTGCACCTGGCCACAAGTGCCTTTTTTTATAAAATGTCTTTTTTTCCTTTGGGTAAATACCTAGTAGAAGGATTGCAGGATCAAATGGTAGGTCTACTTTTAATTCTTTGAGGAATGTCCATACCAATTTTGGGTTTTATTTAAGGAATCCTTCTTTAGCCTGTGGACAAAAAATGTTTTATAATAGAATTGTCTAACATATATACACATATATAGCCCAATGTGTGTGTGAGTGTGTGTGTATGTATCTGTACTATTTTAGGCTTTAAAGATTTGCTTTTCACATTTAGGTCTTTTATTTTATTATTATTTTTTTTTATTTTGAGAGAGAGTTTCATTATGTTGCCCTTGGTAGAATGCCGTGGCGGCACAGGTCACAGCAACCTCAAACTCTTGGGTTTTAACAATTCTCTTGCCTCAGCCACTCAAGTAGCTAGGACTACAGGTGCCCACCAACACGCCGGGCTATTTTTCCATTGCAGTTGTCATTCTTGTTTAGCAGGCCTGGTTTGGGTTGGAACCTGACAGCCTCAGTGTATGTGCCCTGGTGCCCTAACCAGTGAATTAGGTGCACTGACCCACATTTATTTTCTATGTATGGTAAGGTAGGGATCTAATTCAATTTTTTAAATATGGATATTATTTTTTTGAGACAGTCTTACTATGTCACCCTGGGTAGAGTGCCATGGCATCACATCAACCTCCAACTTTGGGGCTTAAGCAATTCTCTTACTTCAGCCTCCCAAGTAGCTGGGACTCCAGGTGCTCAGGACAATGCCTGGCTATTTTTGTTATTGTTGCAGTTACTTAATTGGGATGAGCTGGGTTTGAACCCACCACCCTGGGGATAAGTGGCCGGTGTTGTAACCACTGTACTATGGTAGGGTGACCAGATTTTAACATTTGAAAGCGGGACAACATGGCGGGGGGCAGGGGGGCAGGGCGTGACCGGGCAGGGCGGGGCCTGACAACAATGCAAACTTTGATAAGCAGTTCTTGATAATCACTTATCAACAATTATTTGTTATTATTACAGTTTAACATGAAATTAACAAAAATAATATAAAACTCATATCCTGATGAAATAGCCACATGGCAGCTGAAAACCATATATTCCCTTACTGTTCTCCCACCCTTTCGTGCATTCTTTCCAAAAATCGGGACTTTTTAAAAACACCGCAGGACGTGGGACAAATTGTTAAAAAGCGGGATTTTTCCGCCAAAAGTGGGACATCTGGTCACCCTATACTACGGGTGCCAAGCCAGATACTTTTTTTATTTTTAAGAGATAAGATCTCACTCTGTCACCCAGGCTACAGTGTAGTGGCATCATCATAGGTCACAGCAACCTCAAACTCCTGAGCTCAAGTGATCCTCTTACATCAGGCTCCTGAGTAGCTGGTACTATAGGTGTGCACAACCACGTCTGGGTAATTTTTGATTTTCAGTAGAGACTGGGTCTTAGTCATTCTCAGGCTGGTCTGGAACTCCTCAAGCTGATCTGGAAGTCCTGAGCTCAAGGGATCCTCTCACATCACTTCCCAAAGTGCTGGGATTATAGGTATGTCCTACCTCCCCATCCTCCAGGGATACCGGGGGAGTTCTGTGTTGATCTGAGCATGGGCACACTGTGGACACCGAGGGAAGGTAGGTCCATCCGTCCCCAAGGCCAGCATCGGTGGGCCAGTTCCCAGCATCTCAGGCCTGACCTGGCAAGGGAAGAATTGGTTGGCGGTTCTGCCTGGATTTCTCAGCATTCCTGCAGGCTGTGGGTGTTGGCAGCAGATGGCACTGAGGAGCTCTCGGTGGGAGCTGATTGGTGACAGCCACTAGCCTTGGAAGAAGGGATAGAGGCCCCGGTAAACACAGGGCAACTCTCCCTCCTCAGAGGCTTTCCGGACATTGAAGCCTGGCCATGGGCCCCAGGCCATGGGCGCCTCCACTGCCAGTGCCGCAGCCCTAGACAGCCTTTCCAAGACATGGACACAGCCACCCATGGCGTCACAGATCACAGCAACCTCCAACTCCTGGGCTTAGGCGATTCTCTTGCCTCCACCTCCCAAGTAGCTGGGACTACAGGCGCCCGCCACAACACCTGACTATTTTTTTGTTGTAATTGTTATTGTTGTTTTGCAGGCCTGGCTAGATTTGAACCCACTAACTCTGGTGTATGAGGCTGACACCCTAGCCTCTGAGTAACATAGGCACCGAGCCAACAAAGATATTTTATTCAGAAAGAACAAAGAGAACGTTTCGAGCACTTCCAAAGAGACTTGGAAGTGAGTCTTTCTCATGTAGGAGGAAAGGTGAGAGAGACCTACAGTATTTGTTCAATACCGCTGGGGGCTATACTACATACTGTTATATTACTTAATATAGCCTCCTCTCCCATGATTTTTTTTTTTTCGAGACAACGGCTCTGTCTCCCTGGCTGGAGTGCAGTCATGTAATACAGCTCACTGCAGCCTCAAACTCCTGTGCTCAAGTGTTCTCCTGCATCAGCCTCTGGAGTAGCTGGGACTACAGACATGTATGTACGACAATGCCCGGCTATTTTTTAGAGACAGGATCTTGCTCTGGCTCAGGTTGGTCTTGAACTCGTGAGCACAACAAACCCACCTGCCTTGGCCTCCCAGAGCACTGGGATTACAGACATGAGCCACCATGCCTGGCCTTATACAGTTTTTATATGAAGACTTGTAGACCATAAACTGAGAAAGGAAAGACATTTTGTAACAAATATGATATATATGTATAAAGAGTAAATATATTTCTTATATATATAATACATAATTTTTTTATTTTTCTTACTTATACATGTGTATATTAGGTTTCCACTATTGCCTTCACAGAATTAAAATGGCTAAATTTAATGACAATAGCAGTATTTAACATAAGGACTGGGAACAGAAACCTCATAAAGAACAAATGAAGATAAATACATTCAGAAAAGAAATCATGATTGCTGCAATGAACTATTAAGCAACAATAATAGTAATAATGCAAAGAAAGTACTATTCACGTTGCCAGATAGAAGTATGTCTTTTATAAAATACTTTGATCAGTTAACTTCTTATTATTTTGTTTTTTCCAAAGTCTCAAAAAAAGACAACTAATATTTATAAATAAAAGTAAAAGATAACTTCAAAAACACAGATCACGCCACATCTTATAGACAATAGAACAAGAAATACTTCAAAATCATTCTTCTTAATCTGGATATACCTGATATTAAAATTGGAGAAAATATATTATTTTAAAGGGGAAATTACAAATATATTTCACTTATAAACGAGGATGCAATATGATAAACAACATATTAACATGTTGAATCAAAAATTAGTGTTTAAGTAATATACTGTGGTCCAAATTAAATACAATTTATATGAAAATTAGTCACTAATTTCTTTTTTTTTCTTGCCCACACCCCCTCCCTCCTTCTCTGTCTGGTCTCCCCTTCCCCCAGGCCCCACCGTGTTATTAATTGTCATGAATTGTCTTCATATCAAAATTGAATACATAGGATTCTTACTTCTCCATTCTTGTGATGCTTCGCTAAGAATGATGTGTTCCACCTCCATCCAAGTTAGTAAAAATGCTGTAAAATCTCCATTACTTTTGATGGCTGAATATATTCCATGGTATACATATACCACAGCTTACCAATCCATTGCTGAGTTGAAGGACATGTACACTGTTTCCACAATTTACCGACTGTAAATTGGGCTGCAATAAACAGCCTAGTACAAAGTTCTTTATGATAAAATGTTTTTTTCCTTCTGGATAGATACCTAGTAATGGGATTGCAGGATCAAATGGGAGGTCTAGGTTGAGTTCTTTAAGGTTTCTCCATACTTCCTTCCAAAAAAGTTGTATTAGTTTGCAGTCGCAAAAAAACGAAAACAATCCAGAAAAACCAAAACAGCCCCCAGGCAAGGCTCTTGTCGCTTACAGTCTCCCTATACAGACAGTTGCAGGCAGCCTCTGGCTGAACAAATGGGGCACTCACTCCTTGCCGGATTTCCACTGCCTCCGTCCTCCTTGTGGGGTCCAGAAGTCTCTCCCTGACTTCCTGGGTCACCACAGGACACTCTCTGGGCAAAACCCACCCTCTAGACATGACTGGAGTCTTCTCTCCACACTGTCACTGCCCCCGGTTACACAGAAGCTACGACTCAATACATACATTTTTTTATATAAAATATTAACATTTTCTGGACTCACAGGTGTCCCAAGCATAGTCAATGGCATTGAAGTTCCTTTAGGTGGGCTAAGTCAGGGAGGGGGTATTTAAGGAGTTTGGTCTTCTGAAAAGGTCAGAAGGTTGGCAGCTGCTTCAGATCAGTGGGCAAGGTAGGGAGACCCTAAGCCCTCCTCCCAAGGCAGGGGCTGAAGCTAAGGCCAGGAATGATGTCACATAGGCATTGCTGAGGTCACAGAAGGTTGCCTAGCCTCCCCTCTGACTCCTTGCCTGCCCCACAGTCTCCCCAGCCAGCTGCCTCCTGCACATATCTGCACACATACCAAGGCGAGGAAGGGTCAGAGACCATCCGGCCACTGTTAGGTACACAAAAGTGGTGGGGGAAAGGGGGAGGAGTCGGTATCTGGGATCCACCTGGCCTTCCCAGTGCTGGGAAGGGGAGGCTCATGTTGTGGATGTGGCAGGTGGCATGGGGGTGAGAGGTACAGGGGAGGGGGCAGCAGGGACATGGGGATTTGTTTCTCTTGCCCACTGATTTAATCTTCACCTTCATCCTCATTCCTTGTCCGTCCTCCTTTGCCTTCCCCCCTCCCTCCTGGCACTCCCCCCCACTGCCCACCCCCAACCTCTAGCTGACCATGGCATCCGAAGCAGAGAAAACATTCCAGCGGTTCGCTGTCCTTGGAGACTCCTCAAGCAGTGGTGCTGAAATAAACAACAAGAACTTCTCCAAGCTGTGCCAGGACTGTGGCATCACAGATGGGAAGACGGTCACCTCCACAGATGTGGACACTGTGTTCAACAAAGTCAAGGCCAAGGATGCCGGAACCATCACCTTTCAGCAGTTCACAGAAGCAATGAAGGAACTGAGCCAGAAGCGCTTCAAGGAAAAGAGCCCAGACCAAGGCCTAGAGGACATTTATCGACTCATGGAGGGCAAGAATCCAGCCACCACTGGTGGTCACTGAATGAGGTCCTCTTACAGCAGCCTGATCAGAATAAACCCGCTAGACAAAGAAAACTCCACCGTCCCTCTGTGCCCTGGGTGTGGATGGCTCTGGCTAGAACACCTGCCCACTGGTGGCTCTGGGCCCTAAGAGAAAAGACCCCACACCGGAGGAAGATGAAGAGCTGCGGGGACTTGTTCCATGGATCTCAGGGCCATCTTCAAGGAGAAGGAGGAGGAACCCGGCTGAAATCCATTCTTTGGCTTCTACCAAGCTGCAACGGCAGGTGCTATGGACTGCCTCACCGACACTAGCAAATACACCAGCAGCCATGAGGAGCACCTGGACGACAGTGGCAAGGGCATCACAGGACAGAATGAGACCACTGATAACTCAGGCTATGGGAGGGGCCACAAGGGTGCTGGCACCTACGACAAGAAGAATTAGACAGGAGCCTCCTCTGGGCCTCCAAGCCCCCCTCACCCTGCATCTTTAACACCGGGGAGCTGGGGAAACAATAAACATCTGTGTGTGCAGACAGAAAAAAAAGAGTGAAAGAGTTCCTGAAAGATGAAAGGGATTGGGGAGATCTAAGAGAGAAAGGCTGAGGTGGAGGTCATATAGAAATGTCAGGTTTAAAGACCCAGGGTCAGAGTCGGGGTTGCAGGGGGAGAAGATCTCAAGGTGAGTAGAGAAAGTCTAGGAAAGAGCAGAATGGGAGCAGATGAGGAGGGCCAGGGAAATTCCTGAAGTGGCTTAGAGCCGTCCCTGATTCCTTGTATTGGCCCATGGGTAGAAAGGAGTAACAGATTTGGGGTCCTCATTTCTGGGGGGAGGCGGTTTCCCACAGAGAAAGAGAACATGAAGTCTCTGCTGGTGCATTTGCTTTGGGCGGATATCCTTGGTATTGGGTTGGTCCGCAGTAGCCATTGGATCAACGTGTTCCGAATACATTAGACCATATAGAAAATAACAAACAAACACAAAAATAAAAACAGGAAGAATGGGATCTTGTGTTTTCCATTATGGATGGATCCCGAGGCTGTTCTCCTAAGGGAAACCGCGCAGACACACAGAGATAGATAGGGCACATCCTCACCTACCAGTGGGAATGAAATCATGTGCCCCTAGGGACACAGAGTGAGGTGTGATACACGATGGAGGCCTGGGAGCCTAGCGGGGAGCAAGGGGTTGTGTGTGTGTTGGAGGTTGAGAAACTGCTTGATGGGTCAGGGTTATGTCGTTCTGATTGCGAATACCCTGAAAGCCTTGTGCTCAGCTCTCAGCAGCAACACACCCAGGGAGCTAAAGACGTACACCCAGACCCCAGAGACGTTTACCCCAAACAGCTTGTTGCTCAAACACGCTGATGATCACCTGAGCCTTGAGAAACTCTTTCACTGTTTCGGTGCTGGTGCAGGTTCTGGCCACAAGTCCGAGGGGGTCAGGCTCATCAGGGTGGCAGATGCTGAAGGCTGGGGGTGGCTGTGGCCATGTCTTGGAAAGGCTGTCTAGGGCTTCGGCACTGGCAGGGAGGTGCTGTCCCAGGGCCCATGGCCAGTCTTCAAGGTCTGGGAAGCCCTCTGAGGAGGGAGAGGTGCCCTGTGTTTACCGGGTCTGCTACCCCTTCTCCCAAGGCTTGGTGGCTGTCACCAATCAGCTCCCACTGAGAGCTCCTCTCTGCCGTCTGCTGCCAACACCTACAACCTGCAGGGATGCTGAGAAATCTAGGCAGAACCACCAACCAACACTTCCCTTGCCACATCAGGCCTGAGGTGCTGAGCACTGGCTCACCAATGCTAGCCTTATGGACCCATGAAGCAGCCCTCTCTCGGTGTCCACATCGTGAGATGCTTGATCAATGCAGTGGTCCCTTGGTATGCCTAGGGGGTGAGGGTGGAGGGTGGGTGGGTCATACCTATAATCCCAGCACTTTGGGAAGCGATGTCAGAAGATCCCTTGAGCTCAGGAGTTCCAGACCAGCCTGGGAACAACTAAGAACCAATCTCTACTGGAAATCAAAAAATTACCCTGGCGTGGTTGTGCACACCTGTAGTACCAGCTACTCAGGAGGCTCAGGTGTGAGCATCACTTGAGCCCAGGAGTTTGAAGTTGCTGTGACCTATGATGATGCCACTATACTGTAGCCTGGGTGACAGAGCGAGATCTTATGTCTTAAAAAGAAAAAAGACTTGGTGCCTGTAGTACAGTGGTTACAGTGCTGGCTCTGTACCCCCAGGTGGGTTCGAACCTGGCTTGGGCCAATTAAGCAACTGCAACAACAAAAATATAGCCGGGTATTGTGGTGAGTGCCTGTAGTCCCAGCTTCTTTGGATGCTGAGGCGAGAGAATCGATTAAGCCCAAAAGTTGGAGGTTGGTGTGATGCCATGGCACTCTACCCAGGGTGACATAGTAAGACTTTGTCTCAAAAAAAAAAAAAAGACAGACAGAGAGAGAAAAGTATCCATATAAGAAAGTTGAATCAGATTCTTACCTTGCCATACATAAAAAATAAAATGTTACATGTCTAAAAGACCTAAGGACGTGAGTTGGTACCTGTACCTCAGTGCTTAGGGCACCAGGGCACATCCACTGAGAGTGTCGGGTCGAACCCAAGCTGGAGCAGCTAAACAAGGATGACAAGTGCAATAGAAAAATAGCTGGGTGTTGTGACATCGCAACTGTATTTCTTAGCTATTTGGGAGGTTGAGGCAAGAGATATGCTTAAGTCCAAGAGTTTGAGGTTGCTATTAGCTATGATGCCACAGCACTCTACCAAGGGCAACATAATGAAACTCTCTTGCAAAATAAAAAAAATAATAATAAAATAAAAGACCTAAATGTGAAAAGCAAATCTTTAAAGCTTAACGGATTACAGATACACAAACACATACATTGAGCTCCCTATGTGATAAATTTTATAAAATTATATTATAAAACTTTTTGTACACAGGCTACAGAAGGATTCCTTAAAAAAAAACCCAAATTAGTATGAAGATTCCTCAAAGAACTAAAAGTAGACCTACCATTGATCCTGCAATCCCTCTACTAGCTATTTACCCAAAGGAAAAAAAGACATTTTATAAAAAAGGCACTTGCAACAAGGTGCAGTGGCTCACCTGAGCACACCTGTAGCCTCATCACTCTGGGAAGCCAAGGCAGGTGAATTGTTTGAGCTCACAGGTTAGTGACCAGCCTGAGCCAGAGGAAGACTCTGTTTCTAAAAATAGCTGGTGATTGTGGCAGTTGCCCTTAGTCCCAGCTACTTGGGAGGCTGAGGCAAAAGAATCATTTAAGCCCAAGAGTTTGAGGTTGCTGTGAGCTGTGATGGCATGGTACTCTACCAAGGGTGACAAAGTGAGACTCTGTCTCAAAAAATAATTAGAAGAATAAAATTAAAAATAAATAAATGAAACCCAAATGTATAAACTACAAAAGAAAAAGATTGATAATACTGACTCCGTTCAAACTGAAAATGAAAAAGTTCTGTTTACACAAGTCCCCATTAAAAAATAAAGAGAAAAAGATAAGCCACTGACCTGGAGAGGACACTAGCATAAGGTGACCAGATTTTAACATTAGTAAAGCGGGACACCATTGATGGGGCGCGGGGGGGAGGTGTGGCAGGGATGGGGCCTGACAACAATGCACTTTGATAAGCAGTTCTCAATAATCACTTCTCAACAATTATTTGTTATTATTACAGTTTAACATTATAAAATTAACAAAAATAATATAAAACTCATATCCTGGTGAAATAGCCACATGGCAGCCGAAAACCGTATATTCCCTTACTGTTCTTCTGCCCCTTCGTGCATTCTTTCCAAAAATCTGGACTTTTTAAAAACGCCTCAGAACGCGGGACAAATTGTTAAAAATTGGGACTGTCCTGCCAAAAGCGGGACGTCAGGTCACCCTACACTAGCAGCAAATGTAACTGACAAACAATTGGCAACTAGAATTTTGGAACTTAATAATTAAGATTTGTCAAAAGACATGACTAAGAAGCAAAAAAGGCAAGCCACAGGATGAGTCAGGCATCTTTTTTTTTTTTTAATTTATTGTTGGGGAATTCATTGAGGGTACAAGAAACCAGGTTTCACTGACTGCATTTGTTAGGTAAGTCCCTCTTACAATTGCGTCCTGACCCCCGAAAGTGTGGCACACACCAAGACCCCTCCTCCCTTCCTCCTTCCCTCTCTCTGCTAAACCCTTCCTCCCTCCTCCCTCCTCCCTCCTTCCTCTCTCTGCTTACCCCTCCCCTTGTCATTAATTGTCCTCATATCAAAATTGAGTACATAGGATTCATGCTTCTCCATTCTTGTGATGCTTTACTAAGAATAATGTGCTCCACTTCCATCCATGTGAATACAAAGGCCGTGAAGTCTCCATTTTTTTTTAATGGCTGAATAGCATTCCATGATATACATATACCACAGCTTGTTAATCCATTCCTGGGTTGGTGGGCATTTAGGCTCTTTCCACATTTTGGTGATTGTAAATTGAGCTGCAATAAACAGTCTAGTGCAAGTGTCCTTAGGATAAACGGATTTCTTTTTCTTTCTGAGCGGATGCCCCATAATGGGATTGCAGGATCAAATGGGAGGTCTAGCTTGAGTTCTTTGAGGGTTCTCCGTACTTCCTTCCATAAAGGTTGTATTAGTTTGCAGTCCCACCAGCAGTGTCAAAGTGTTCCGTTCTCTCCACAGCCATGCCAGCATCTGCAGTTTTGAGATTTTGTGATGTGGGCCATTCTCACAGGTGTTAGATGGTATCTCAGGGTGGTTTTGATTTGCATTTGTCTAATAATTAGGGATGATGAGCATTTTTTCATATATTTGTTAGCCATTCGTCTGTCTTTCTTAAAGAAGATTCTATTCATGTCTCTTGCCCATTGATATATGGGATTGTTGGCTTTTTTCATGTGGATTAATTTGACTTCTCTATAGATACTAGTTATTGAGCTTTTTGTCTGATTCAAAATATGCAAATATCCTTCCCCATTGAGTAGGTTGTTTATTTGCTTTGGTTGTTGTCTCCTTGGCTGTACAGAAGCTTCTCAGTTTAATTAAGTCTCATTTGTTCATTTTTGTTGTTGGAATTGCCACGACAGTCTTCTTCATGAAGTCTTTCCCCAGGCCAATATCTTCCAGTGTTTTTCCTACACTTTCTTTGAGGATTTTTATTGTTTCATGCCTTAAATTTAAATCCTTTATCCATCTTGAATCAATTTTTGTGAGTGGGGAAAGGTGTGGGTCCAGTTTCAGTTCTTTACGTGCGGATATCCAGTTCTCTCAACACCTTTTATTGAATAGAGAGTCTTTCCCCCAAGGTATGCTCTTGTTTGGTTTATCAAAGATTAGGTGGTTGTAAGATGTTTATCTATGTCTCTATTTTTGTGCCAGTACCATGCTGTCTTGACCACTATGGCTTTGTAGTACAGCGT